TTCTTTTCTAATTTAAAACAGATAACTGCAATTTTTCGTTGTTAATTAAACAATAAAGTGAATTTATTTTTGTTAATTAATCACTTCGTTGGAATTTTGAAATTAAAAAAAAAAACCTGGTGACTGATATTTAACAATAAAATAAATTCATTATCGCGTTGTGTGATAAAATCTCTGTTTTTGTGGTACGTGGCGCGGATAGATGCATCAAACACTCATTAGAATGGCTTTTTATAAAAGGTTAGGAGAGAATATGTAAGGTGTGAGGCAAAGTTTAATGATGCCTAAAACTGCAGCTGTCGAACTAACTGTCAAAATTAACAGCAACAAATTGTAAATTACAGATTGCAAAAAGCGGCATTTGTTTGTGCTCGAACGGGTTTCGTTAAATAACAAGAAGTGTAGTAAATACTGCACTATTTAAACTATCTTTTGGTGCAGAATTATATAACGTACTATCTGCTAGATAGATAGTACAAGATTTATCAAAGTCAAACAGTTAAACAATGTGCAATATACCGAAGTTTGGCGTTGTCTTAATTGAACTAAATAGTCCAAACGTTTTCTTATTAACTACTATTTATAGAGGTATGATAGCACAATTTGTACATTAAACAAAAACTATCAGAGCGAAAATCCAATATACAATGATGTGAATTTTTAATACGAAAATAACTCATACAAAATTTAAAAACTATGCCTTTTTATATTTGCGGTTAAGTTTACATTAGAACGTCACAAGTCATCGACGACAAAGTTCCACTCACAAATCAATTTGGAGTCTCACCGTTCGCAAGAACGGTGCCAGCCAAACTAAGCATGGCTCTATAGAAACGGGAGAACTACAGAGGCTGCAACAACAGAAATTATTTTCTAGTTTGAGTTATTTTTTTTTTGTTGTTTAAAGAAAAAAATCTAAATAATAAATGTCTTCAATATTCTTTAAAAACAAGAGTTATGGCTGTGCATTATTTATAACTACAAGTACAAATCATTTTGCGTATTAAAATCTTAGAATTTTTTACTCTATGCCATTGCTAGGTTTTTAATATTTTATTATTGCATTATTATGCAATCGATGCTTCAATACTTCGTTCTCCGTTGGTCATAAATTACTCACTGCTTTCCTACAGTGCTGATTATGTCATAGCCAACTTACATCAATACCTCATTTTCCACTCATTGACAAACCATTAACTATTAATCATCCACTGCACATTGCTACAGCATTCAACTGCATTGCGTTGCATACAATATGAATACAATTTTTCCTACTTTTCCGAAATCCTGCAACTGCAACTTGACACTCTTTGAAGCGGAGCAAGTCTGCAACATTTCATAATCGCATCAACCACAGAAAAAAGTTTATTTCTTCTTCACCTCTTTGCAATTTTTTCCTGTTTTACTGCCACATTCCAGACCACCTCCAATAACAAATTCTTTGCAGACTCCAGACTCCATATTTCGTTCATTGCAGAACTCTATTCTCTATGGTTGCTAATGCGTATGTGCCTTGTGTATTTGTTTGTATTCGTGTAGGTGTGCATTTCCGTATAGACAAACTGAGTTTCGCTGTCATGCATTGCTTAATAATTCTTTGAGACTGTAGAGTTCTTGCTTTTAGTACGCCTGCATACGGATAGACACATCTCTTGCCATGTCATAGACGTGGACATAGACGTTGTAGACGCCAAACTGCCGTAGAAAAGTTGCCAATACTTTTATGTTCCCATTTTTTTTCTCTTTTTTATTTCAACACATTGGCTTTTGCAATTTGTTATGTTTGTGTGAATTCTTGTGTATCGCAGAGATTTCATCTCTACGGGTTTTCTTCGCAATAAGAGTACAAAGACATTTTGGCGCTGCCACAACTTTTTCCTGCAACAATTTGCGCTTGTAACGACCTTCGCGGTTTATTTAAAAAACTTCATAAATTTAAATGCGGTATGCAAAACGTAAAGTATTTAAATTATTTAATATTTTTCACATTTTACGAAAGTAAAACCTTCGCATTCATTAACAATCGCAACAGCAGGCAGAAGTCAACGGCTACATCAACAGCAGAAAATTAATTGACCGGTAATGATGATAAATTAAGTATTGGTAAACTGCGAAAAAAAAAATTTTGTAAACCACAAAAATTAAAAACTTTTACGTGACAAATACTGTCTCATTTACTAAAGCAAAGAATGTAATACCGTTTTGCAGGCTTTTATGTAAGTTTCAGGCTAAAAGGCGCCTCTGATTACTTTTGCTGCAGAAAGATTAAATAAATTTTGTTTGCACAATGAAGCAAAATAATTTAATTTACTGTGTAAACATGTGCGGCTGAAGAAGACATAAACCAGGTCGCCAAAAGAATTCGGAACGCTTTTGTGCATAAAGTAAATAAATATGACTTAAGACTTAAGAAGTTAAGAATAAGAATGTCTACTCAGTCTTGCACTTATTTTCTTAACTGTTGTTTACTTCAGTTATTATAAATGCAAAGACAAATACTACAACAAGACGCCTCAGTAAAAACATCTTTTTGTGTTTATAAGAGTTATTAGCACTTAAGCAATAATAATTACTCAAATATTGGCAGAATGAGGAATTATGGTCCAAGACGTTTCGATTTAACAGGTCTCATAGATAGAACAAGTATAAATCAGTATTTACTGTTCAAAAGAAAAGCAGTTTTAAAAAATATTAGTAAATAAAGTGGAGGCATGATAAGAATAAGTTTATAACTTTTCTAAAAATAATAACACTGATATAGATACTATCTAACAATAAAGTGATTACGTAGAAAATACTTAAGCAAAACATTCAATAAATACTTGCATTATTCAGTATATACTTAATAAATTTATATTCAATATGTTACATCATGTATACATATATACATATATCTATACCTATATCTATGCCTATATCTATAAATATATCTATACATATATCTATACCTATATCTATGCCTATATCTATAAATATATCTATACCTATATCTATACCTATATCTATTTCTATGCAATTTGCTTACGGGTCGGTACAATAAGTTATTGCATCACGAAGCCACATCATTAACTACTTTTATTAAAACGACTTTAAAGATCTGTTATACAAACATCTTCTGAAGGACCGTGTAAAGTAGTAACGATGATCGATGATATTGTTTATCGAATTCAACAGTCGGACATCGTAGAGCTAGAATGAAACTAGTCCATCTGGAATGACTGGCACCTTACACCGACGCTGTAGTAATACCCATCCAAGACGAACAGGTTTAAGAAGACGGCAGTGTTACGTAAACTTTGGTGTCAAAAGTAGGATTTTGTAAAATGGTGAAATTGGAACAATTGACTGTGGTTCAACTGCAAAAGCAGTTGGAGATAGTGAGACTTGGCACTAGTGGTGCGAAGGTAGAACTGGAGGTGAGACTTCGTGAGCCCTTGGATGCCAATTTAATAAATGTAGACGAAGACAAGTTCATCAAGGAAATCTCTACTGCAATGGAAATTAGGATAGATGAATATTGGATAACATATCTTGTAAAGAACCAAAAGGACTATGCAAAAAAGGCAGAGAAAAAGAAAGAGAAAAAGGAAGAGAAAAAGGATGAGAAAAGACACCAAAAAGGATGAGAAAAGAGACTGCAAAGGATAAAAAATCAAATTAACTGTAGGTAGTAATAGAATTTAAAAAAACTTGATAAAAATCGAGTATATATATAAAGTAACATAATATTCACTTAAATGATATGATAAAAATGATAATGATATATGATAAAAATTATATTATTTCATTTTTGAGAAATGTTCGCTTTTTAACATCAATTAATTTAAAAAATGTTTTTCTTATTATTATGATTATATCTTATCTTAAAATTTCAACTATGCATTTTTTATCACTTTATGACACGGAGGTCTGTCTGCTAGCTTAACAAATCTTAAAAACGAATTTTATTGTTTTTACTGCACAAATGATTTGTTAAAATTTATAGGAAATGTTTTGTTTCATTTTGTTTTTTTTTTTGTAAGGTAAAATCACTTTTGTAATGTTGCACGTGTGTATATATTAACTCGTTATGACATCTAAGAATGTTGCTGACCTATTTTCAGAAAGCAAAAATAAACAAACTGAGCCATACAAAACTCTATTTATAATTTGTTGCCTCCAGATAGGTGCAAAGGAGTGCATGCAACCGCACGCATGTTGGGTGTACAATATTTGCCCCGTCTGTCTGCTAACATCCATAATTTGTATATAATTTTCTGTTTTTTATCGTTGTTATTGGTGTGGTTGCTGCTGATGTATCTGGATGTGTATATATGACCGTTTAGGTTTTGTCTCATAAAATTCTTAATCAGGTGTAGAAATATTAAATATGCGAGCAGCATATGTCGCCAGTTTAGCGGTTTTATCGTTGTTGCATGTTGCATACACAAGATTAAATGATCGTGATAATGCACATAGCAAGCGGAATTATGAGCGATCACGCTCATATTATGGGTTAAGCAGGAGAAGCAGGGTAAACGCATAATTAACATTTAAAATTACATATATAAAACTAATCGTCTTTGGGAAGTCTAAATTTAAATTTTGCAGAAGTTAGCATGATCTATATATACTACAGATTTATTAAAAATTCATTAACACACGTAATAGAAATCAGAGGTATTAAGTAGAATATCAAAAATTTAGGTACCAGTATCAAGCTCTATATACATCTGAATGAAATTTTATCTACAAATTTTAAATTTTACACTATGTATGAAGATATTATAATACAGGTTATTTAATTGGATTTGATAATAAATATTATATACAGTATTGCCATATGACGTACTGTTACAAAAATAAAAAAATAACTAAAATTTCTAAACTTCTAACTAAAATATAAAATTTCTAACTAAAAGTTAATCATGCTTATATTTTCAATAGAACCCCATAGCAGTGCATCCCTTGCAGTTTTAAAATAATTAAAATAATTTCCTCTATATTAACTATACATATCCTTATAAAAGCGCATTAAATCTTGTGGATAAATGACCTTTTATGCAGCTAGTATCCTCTGATATTTCTATTGAAACTTTAACAGTTCCATGGAAACCTCGCGTGTTTCGTAAGCTCGTACATCTACACAAGATACACATTATTTATTGTACATAAGAAGAAGAGAATTTACATACATATACATATAAGCATAAGTAAATTGTTCACTCGATATATCTACACGAAACAAGAAAACGAAAAAAATATTGTTGGTTCCATAACATTCCATTAAATAGTTAAGCAACTACACCATCTGTTGGCAAAAATATTTGCGTTTTAACGCATATCTAAGCCAAGCTGATTGCTGATTTTAGCCTTGGTAATAGGTAATGTGGTAGTGTGGTAATTTAAATTTTGCCGTGTATCATGAACTTGACCTTTGTACACCACTTAGCGATCAGTGTTCAGTTTTGGTGTTGTAAATTTTATTAAAGACGCCGCATTGTTTACAAACTCAAGAGAGATTTTAATTTAAATTGTGATATTTTCAGTATTTATGTAATTGCTTTTGCTTTTGCTATTTTTGAAGCAATTAACACGACATCTTATTTAAAAATTTAAACAGAGAGATAGTGTTAAAAACAATTTTTAGTTTAGAAATTAAGTATGGAGATGGCAGGCAATACAGAGGAATATTGATTTTAAAACTTTAGTATATACTAAATATATTACTTAAAAATACAATAGAATATGGAATAGATTTCTTTAGAGAATTTAATATACATTAGAGAAGTTGGACAAATAAGAGTCTCATGTGCTCTGTAAATATCATTTTAAGATATTATATTTTAACTTGCATGCATCAACTAAAAGTTATTCATATCTACTTATTTCAGTATTATTAATTCTAAATTTTTAACTGTAAACAGTAATAGTGAATACAATTTAACTGCTAAAATTTTTGAACTAACCAAATATAAATCATCTACGTAAAAAAAAGCGTGATATCAGTCCATTGCCTACACACAAATCTGACTCATTCCTAGCTTAGCTTGCTAACTTAGTTTTATAAAATTAAACAAAACATGAAATTAGATATAATTGCAAAATATTTAGTGGTCTACAATGTAAGTATATACAACATATTGATAATTTCTTGACATAACTGACCTATCCTCACAAAATGTATGAGCAATACCAATTAACAGAGTAAAAGCCGCAATCTTCGATGCGATGAATAATAAATTTTAAATTGTTTAGGCTGAATAAATAACAATGCTTTTGGATGTGGAAGAAAGAAACGACCAAAACAAATGAAAAGGTGTGTTACCCCCAGGGGCTTAAAGCTGATAACCGTCATCCTATAGAATGGAAGAATGCGAATGATTAGATTTAACACAAATTGGGAGGCAGCAAACAAAATGTGTGTTCACCCCTCTGTCTAGACTTATTAGCAATTACATAAAACAAAAAAAGTTAAAAAATAAAAATGTCATAATTATAAAATGAAATAATAATTTAAATTTAAAAAAAATTTATAGACATGTGTAGTCAATAATTCGGATACATCATATATTTAACATATACGCATTTAAGAGTAAATAGATTTACAAAATATTCAAGAGCTGCTGCTGTCATATAAAAACTTTATGAATCATACATTTTATCAATTATGCAGTCACAACTACAAATATTTTGTGCATTATGCATTTATGCATAATGCAAAATGACAATGTTTAAGCAATATGCCTTTATGAACTTAATCTGACGGTTAAGTTCATTAAATTATTTTTAATATACATATATACGAATGTATGTAATGTAATTGTATAAAATAAATGGATAAAAGATGGATCAAAAATTATTATTATAAGTAGAAATAAGTCTCTTGGCATTAAATTTACAAATACAATATAGATTAACTTTATGAATCAACATTTTCATAAAACATTTAACAAACAAATTCAATGTTTTTCTTACTTTCTTCATTTTTATCCAAATGAATTAAATTTTAGTTTTATTAAATTTATTTATTTACAATCTATTACATAAATCTCCTATTATATACACAACTAATCTAGAAAAATCTTTATTATGGTTAATTCAGCATTTAGGTACTAGCTTTAGGTTAAAATCTACTCACAAAATAGCAAATTAACCATAATAATTGAACTTATATTAATAAACTATTAATTCTAGCGTCTAATATCTAGCGTGTAATATCTTAGACGTTTATAATACAAAACTTTTATAGCAAAGTGATTAAAATGATGCTTAATTTATCTAAGTATCCCCATGCCAATATATCCATGTATTACATTGTTGGTATGAAACTCGGTTTTTTTAAAAACAGCAACTACCATCATTATTATGTTTTAATAAATTATATTTTAATTAACGTAAAATGTATCTATATAATAACATCTAAGAAAATTCTTCAAAGATTTTTTCTTTTACTCATATAAATTAGTAGCGGCTAATTTCTTTTAATAGCAATTTATTTAGAATTACATACAGGAAATCTCATATTACACTCCAATTAAAAACTGCATGGTAACTATTTGATAGTATAAAAAAAAGGATTTCAGCTCTCAAATATACGAGCTCAATAATTAGCAATAAATTATATTAGTAGACTAAAATTATTAATAAATTATTAATTGAACTTACTAATTACTTAATTACTTTGCTTGATTGCACTAAACTGCATAATCTAAGTTTGCATTGTAGAACATTAATCAATTACGCGCGCTTTTATTTTATTTCATTGAATTACAGCTATTTAACTGCATATTATTTATATAATACAAACATATTTTATGATAATTTATTTAGATTGAATGTATTTATGTAAACAAATGACATCAGCATGAATCACAATTACTTAATGGCACTGACCTATAACAAATATGTTTGTAGCACGAGCGAATAAATGTACATTACGGTACACATTACTTATATTATATACAAAAAAAATTTAATTAAATAATATTAAATTAAATTAAATATAAATGATATGTAAATAACAATACAGAAAAAGCAAGTAATGATAATGTCACTAAAAAATTAGCACAATCACAGCTTAGTGACAACGAAATGCGGATGTTAATGTGTACTCTGATCGAGTAATTACTCTGACGGGCAGGGCACAATTAAGTCTTTTTTCAAATTAATTACCTGATTTTACTGCATTTATAATCGAGTGTTAAGTTGCGTTTATTGTGCACACGCACGCAGGCTACATGTGAGCTGATGAGAGTAATTAAACTTGTTTAATTAGTTCTAAAGTCTAACGAATCAATGCCCGAGATATGAACTTGAAATTTATGTGCTTATATATACATTTTTTTCTAGAGATGAGAACATTCATAATTATGCACATACATATATATGTAAGTTTGTGATATACGTTATTAAAAATATTTTAAAAAACTACAGATAGAAAAGCAACAGAATAAATAAGTATGAGTATAATAAGTTAAGAATTCTAAATAATATTATTATATTACTTCGTTTTGTAATATTATTAGTCTTGTTCTGAGTAGATTTTTGTCAAAAAACTATAAAAATGATTTGGAATTACTTTAATATCCTTTTCGCTGTAAGACCAAAGGGTCTGAAATTATCATAAGCTAAACAATATAAATATGATAATACCTCTTCAAATAGAAATAAAAAATTATTAAACAAACAATTAAGATTAACTAATTACAACAAATAATTAAAAACAGATGATTAATAAGTATTAATTAATAATAAATGATTAAATGATGAACAATTAATATATGAAAGAGTTAAGAATAAATCATTAAGAAGTAAATTACTAAAGATAAATCAAAGATGGTAGATAAATTGCTATGAGTATTAAAAAATAAATTAGAGCGTTTCTTTTGAAAAGAGTATTAGGCAAATCACTTCAATTACCTATTGCAAGCAATTTTCAATTGCTTCAAATTAGAAAGTCGACGAACATAAGTATATACCTATCTAACTCATAACTATAACTAATAAGATATTGATAATAAAGAACATTTACAATTCTTTTTAAAAAAAAAAACCAGCTTTGAGTTGCTATAATTTTTAAATCCATATTAATTTATGGATTTTAAGACTAATATGTGAATTATTTAGACGAATAATTATGCGATATTAAGTTGTTTTTTTTAAATCAAGACTTTTTTTCACGTACTCCCTTTTTTTGACGTAGTATATCAATTTGATATATCTTTTTAATATTCAAAATGAACCCAATTTTTTCCGTTTGTTAGACCAAGGAATCACGCAGTTTAATAACTTTAAAAACGAAACATAATGTACATATGTATATGAATTATTAGTTTTTTGTCATACCTATTACATATTTTTACCAAGTTTAAGTTACTATTAAGTTAAAGTAGTCAAAAATAGTAAAGTAGCTTACCTTAATATATTTGGATGTGACAATTTGTTAAGTAGTTGGACTTCTCTTAACATATTTGGTCGATTTGCACGCAATTGATTCATTTTTAGTACCATCACCTCACCAGTTGTTCGATGTGTGACCTAAAAATTAAAATAAAACTCAAGTCAAATATTTTGGTCATTATAACATGAACAGAAATATCTCAATACAATATTTAAATACATATTCACTAATTTGTACTGAAAGAATCTATGTATATTATGAAATCAAAATTTTTTAATTAAACAAAAAAAAAACAAATAATAAAATAACTTAAAAAAAATTTAAAAAAAATATATAGACAACAGTAATTGTAAACAACATATGTTAACAAAATGAAAAAGTGACATTTTACTCAAATTAGCAATTTGACATTGAGTTTTTCTAACTACAAAAACCATAAACAATGCACGAGGGTCAAGTTTATGGCCTTTTGTAACAAAAAGTAAAAAAAAAAATTTAATACAAAGCTTAAAATTATTAAATTTATTCACTTTACACAATTTGAAAGTTATGAGAATTTTTAATAAAAATCATTTAAACTTGAGCCTGGGAATTTTTTATTACTTCCTGCAATGCTACAGAAAGCAAGCAAACATATTTCAGGGATTTCACAGTCTGAAAGACAATTTTTTTTTGTTATTCCTATTAATGCTGTTCAAACCACAAACTATACTCAAACCAAAATTCCAGCTACAAAATCAATAAATACAAGATACGACTATATTGCTGCAGTGGGTAGTGTGCAACAGACGCAGCAACCATAGGCAATTTGTGGCAATGGCATTAGAGGTTGCTGATGGTTGTGGCCGCGAATCTGGCAGACAACAGCCAGACAGTAGCATATGCTGTGACATTGACAGGCCTCACGTTGCCGGTACAAAAAGAATAGCAATTGGAGATTGTGTGAAAGTGAAGTGAATTGTTGCTGAAATATGTGTGCAGCGCATAAAAAAAGAAATATTATTAACAAAAAAAAAATAAATAAATAGAAAACTAACTTTTAATTAAATTACGACGCTGCAATAAAGCGAAGTCAAATTTTTACGAATTTATGGTTTACTAACATAGCATTTCAAAAATCAAAGAAAGTTTGACATAAAACTAATTGGTTACAGAACTGTCACTGTCAATGCCAACTTATAGTTGACAAGTTGACTAGCAAAAAACTTAGCAAAAAGTTTTTTGACAATTAAAGTAAAAAGAAAAATCAATTGACCGCATTAACTTATTAAATCTGACAATATCAAGAAAACTCTGATAAATAAGTAAATAAAAAAAACATTCTGAAAATTGTGTAAAAAAATACAATTCTACAAAATGTCAAACTTCAAGGAAAATCTTGAAGTCTGTAAAGATAACAAGGAAGAAAGAATGATATGAATAAAAAACAACAACAAAAAAAAAGTATTTTACAAAGTAACATGAAGTCATAGAGATGATTACTGTATTTAACCTTCACATGGTCAGCTTATTGCTCTATGGACTTCGAGCTATTTTATACACCGCAACTTTTTCCGTTGGATAGCAACATTTCTTTATATACTTTTTGCTTTTGAAGGAAAATAAATACATAAATAAATAAAAATTACAATATAGAAAGCTATCATTGCTGATTAAATCACTTTAGTGACGGTATAATATGAAATGCGATAAAAGTTATCACTAATCTAAAATAGATATATAATTTAAATGTAGTATTTTTTATATATATCCATATAATTTATATATCTTAAAAATGGGAAATTTTATATAAACATATATTAAACAATAGTTAGATTTAAGGTGTTTTTTAAAGTTTTTTTTATTTGTTATATGCTATGGCTGTTTTTAAACTTTTATAATGTCTTAAAATGTCTTAAAAACAGTGAAATTTTTCAAATATATTCACCAATAGTTTGGTTTTTTTTATTTTGCTATTTTTAATTTTTTTTTAAAGTTCTAGCCAGACATTTCAGAATGTTCTATTTAGATATAAAACAGAATATTTATAATAACTTTAGATAAAGTTAAAAAAGAAAATAATTAAACCCTTTTGCTCATATTTTGGATAATTTATTTTTATAATTAAAAGTTTGTGTACGCCTGAGCTTAAGCAGTTTATGCGGTGATATGAGGAAGCTTAAGAGCTCAGTGTAGCAAACGAATGAATTCACTTACTCAAGTGCGTAGGCGTAGGCGTTCGTTGCAATTATTTTTTTTTCTTAACATGGACTGGCGCCAAAAAAAAATTGCAAATTCAAAAAAATTGTTTAAATACAAATTAAGCTCGTCAAGTAAAAACATGACTGCAGGCAATTCTACATTTTACCTCAAGTCTTGCAAAATTGCACTCAGCAAGATTGTAAGGCAAATTATTAATGGCAACATTTAAAGTTGAAACCGTCACGGCACATGTCAATTGTATCATTTACACCTCTCCACCTGTGTAGGTGTTATATCTAATATGCGTTGATCACATCTTATGATATTTAAAGTATCATGGAAAACAAGTCAATATGATCATTTTGTTGTAAGCAAGTCAGTAATTAATGAATATTTATGGATCAGCGCTGATATTGACAAAAACAGTGACATTTAGGATATAAAATTGTTAGTTTACCATACCGGATAATATTTTTAAAGTTTTCTATATATTTTTGTCATCTAAAAAATATAATATATAAGAAATAAAAAAATTAATTATATATAAATAAATACATAAATACATAAATAAATTTAGGAATCATTAAATATGTAATCCAACAATTAATAATCATTACAATAATATTTGTAGTGAACAGTATTTCAAAACCCAAATAAATGTTTTATTTTCTACCTCATTAGAACCATGGCGTACTCAATCGTGCATATTCATTAGTCATAGAAAAGTATCAGAAAATGTCGTTCCAACATAAAAACCATATTTTTAAAAAATTTAAAAAAAATTTTATAATAATCATTTAAAAAAGCCAAAGCAATATAAAAAAGAATATATACATTTAAGCAATTATATAAAATTATTTTTTTTAATATTTCAATATTTATTTAAAAATTCATATTTGTTTAAACGATTTTAAAAATTATAAATAATTAAAATAAAGACTTAGTTAAAAAAATTTTAATTATTTATGATTAACCACCTGTAGCATCCACTTAGTCAGTACTACCATAAATAAAAACTTTTAAAAAATGTATATGCTTTCCTTTGAACGTTTGCCAAAAATAATACGTTTATAAAATATTTTTTGAATTGACTGACATTTAAATGTCAAAATTTTGATTTGACAAATTTAAGAGCTTTAACAGTTTAACTCAAAAAAACATAAATAAAAATTAGACCTTACAAATAATTTGAAACAAAATGTACACTAAATCTTCTACCCACAGGTCTCCATATGATTTTCATTTTCATACGAAATGTCGGGCTTAAACAAAGAGACTATTGGGTAGATCTCACAACGGACATAGTCAGGTTCTACACACTTTGCCAAACTAGCTGTACATGATGTATATGTATATGCACAAAGCCAGGCTCTGAAAATACTTTGCAAAGTTCCATGGTACATTAGGACGAATGATATCCTCAGGAATATCAAGATTGATCTCATCAAAAAATACATAAAGGATAGAGCCCTGAAATTATTTAAGAAAACTGACAGACTTACCAAAACTGCGTTATCAAATCTCAAAATGGTTACAGGCTCCTAAGGGAGGTATGCAGATCTGAGGTCAATTATTGCTTAGTCTGCTGAAGTGATAAACAATAATCTAGTCAAGGTGTAAAGAGGGGTTTTGAAAATACCTCGAGTTAAAAAAGAGTATAAGTACTTAAGTGCACTAACTCAAAGCAGCTTCAACATAATATATGATGTACTGAGGTGCAGTAGTAATTTTACCATTTACAATTCACAATATTTTTAATCAATTTTATTAATACTCTTTTAATAGTTTTTAAAACAAAAAATGTGTTGATTTCCAGGTTCCTGAAGAGAATGAGAAGGATATATAGAAAACGTATTCATCTTACAACTTTAGTTATATATAAAAAATGAAAACAGTGTGTACATTTGCTTAAGATTTTTTTGATTTTTTCAATTTGTTATACCCATGCTATTATTTTTTTTATTATTTCTATTTCTAAATTTAGCAATCGCAGCTTTGATTTCTTCTGCGGTAAGAGCTTCAGTGTGACTTGCATTGATGCGTCTAACACATTTCCAACGTCATGTGCAACGTTCAGTGTTCGTTGGAAGTACCGGTTTGTTCCTCTTTATTCATAATAAACACACCACTTTTGTTATGTATTACCTTACTACCACTGATTTTATTCGAGCACTTCATTATTGTTATAGTATATAGCTCTCGCATATCCTCGAGAGCAGCGGTATTTTGGACTGTTAGGTCCAAATTTTTAAAGAAGTCATTTTTATATTTTCTTATTTGACATTTTATTAATATTACAGGCCTCTTATTTTGCACTTTCATCCCATATTACCCATATGATCATGTTAAATTTAAGAAAAAAAAAACAACCGACTGATCTTAATTTTTAATTTTTAGTTTTAAAACCTTCAATTAACCTAAGATCTGATTTGGTGCGTATGACGCAGGCAACTATTTTAAATATATTTTTTTATAGGGAAAACTATAGTTATTAAAAAAGTTATTATAAGTACTTTAAAAAAAATAGTAATTAAAATATAAAGCCTTAGAAATGTGTTTCGCTTTCATTACCGCATAAATTTAATGTAAAAATAACACAACATAAAGTTACCGCTTTACGGCTAAGCATTTTATATTTAAGCTAATTTAAGTGGCTTTAAATAATACTTCTTTTTGTTTTTATTAAAGAAATAAAATTTATAAATATTAATGAGCTTTTTAGCTGCGAAAATAACATATGTTCAGGTCGGCGCAGCTAAAACGCTTGAGTTGCTTCATGAACATGTACGCAGCTGGAACATCAACAGTATACTATATACCTCAAGTACTTAAAAAATATAGTTTTCATATTATCGGAACCCTTAGTTGAGAAGTTCATCCAGCAGCAACGTAACCATGTTACCACCTTAAAAATGCAATTTATCTAAAACCTAAGTTGGAAGTAAAGTAATAGTGA